CTAATTGTAAGGATTCTTGTGAGTCCCTTACTGATGAAAACTGGGACAAAGTTCCAGATGACCTATCCTGCTAGCTGAGGAAGAGATGATGTTGCAAAGGCCACAGTGTTCAGAAGAACTTTTTTTTTCCCCAAAAAGATAGGCATTATTTTTTTTTATTTTCCCTCTTCTTAAGAAATATATAAAAATGGAGAAGGAGTGAAACTAAGGGAAAATGCTTCCATCTGCCCTCAGTACAGGTTTCTCTGGTTAGAAACTCTACCATCAATTTGCCAAATAATGCAAATGCTTATTATCAAGAAAGATCTATTTTTATTTTGAATTTAATAAGTTTAAAATATTGCCTTGAATGTAATGCGTAGGTACTTATGAAGGGAAAGTCTTGTAATCATAAAAAAAAAAAATGTATTTGGAATTGTTGTGGTTTAAACCCAGTCATGCAACTTGTTCACTCACTCTCAGTGAGTGGTGCTGGGCTGACAGCAATCGAGGCCCCCCCGCCCCCCCCAGGGCTCTCCCCTTCCCCGCTCCCGGAGGAATGGGGAGGAGGATCGAAAGGGTGCAACTCCTACGGGTTGAGACAAGAACAGTCCAGCAACCAATGTACAACACAAATCACCACCGCTACTATCAACTACAACAATGATAAGAGAAAATAACAAGGGAAGAGAATACAATACCACCGGCCAAGAAACGAGTCCCACCCGGAAGCCCATGTCCTTCCGGGTAACTCCCAGTTACCTGCCACCCCGGGCATGACATGCTATGGTATGGAATACCTCCTTGGCTAGCCTGGGTCAGGCGCCCCGTCTCTGCTTCCTCCCGGCTTCCCCTCCTCCCTGGCAGAGCATGAGCCTCACAAAGTCCTTGGTCAGGGTAAACATCACTTAGCAACAACCGAAAACATCGGTTTCACCAACATTGTTCCCGGGCTGGAAGTCAAAACACAGCACTGCACCAGCTACCACAAAGGAGAAACATGACTGCTACTGCTGAACCCAGGACAGGAATGGATAGCTTTGTTTCTGAGCTCACCATTCTGGGTAAGATAAGAAATCAGACTGACTTTCCAGTATGTTGCCTTTTAAGGATATTAAGACCTTGTCGATTACTTAGGAAGTGTAAATGGTTAGGGATAAGATTATTTGCTTCCACAGGCACACAGAGAACTATTTTCTCCAGAAGTGATTCTGTCGTAAATGACATTTTTGCCTTCTCTTTATGTTCCTCAATCCCCTTTCCCCTGGAAAACACTGTGCTTTCATTGTCACACATTACGGAAGAACCTTGCATTTGTGATCTATCTCACTAATAACTCATAACCCTGAACGAATGTTATAACCATATATTATCTAAGAAAGGTGTGTTGATGATCTATAGCATAATTTAGATGTAGATGTTATTCAAAGAACATGGCATTGAGCTGTAAACTCAGTGGAGTTATGAAGTAGGGTGTTGCACATGCAGATGGTGGTTGCTTTAGGACTTGACCACAGTGAAAGGAAGATTGCCTGTTTCTTGGGTGAGAAGTAATGTGAGCATGGGTTTTGTTTTTCAGTTACTGCCACACTGGTGGGTTGAGTAATCCTCACAAGTATGACCAAAGCTTGTCCTTGATAATCATGTGTAAGTATAGGGTGTGAAAGGAGCAATGATGAATTACAAAAGAAGGGAGAAGCTGGAAGAAGGGGGCTGAAGTATGTATAGATTTTGGTGAATAACCATGTGACTGCTTTGAGCGGGGCAGTTGGACTAAGTGACCTCCAGAGGCCCTTTTCAGCTTCTCCGTTTCTGTGATTTCTGGCAATAGGTAAAATGCTAATAATGATTACCTATGAAGAGCCTAAGTATGGGAGAGGAAAAAGGTGAGGAATGCAAGCTGAAGGGAAGAAGTTAGAAAGAAGTCTAGAATGAGGCATTTTTCTACCCAAATGTAGCTTCCCACTTGTGGCTAATAGATGATAGCTCTGGGTTTTCCTATGCAGGCTTAACCTGATGATTGGAAAAAAACCCAACTGTTATTTGTGAACTTGAACAGCTACAGACCTATGTATTTCTAGAAATGGAAATTGTTATTGCTAGTTGCTTCTTCTGCCACAAATTCTTGCCTTGCATGAGTAAGCACCCTGAAGAACCTACACATAGGAGAAGTATAGTTTCTGCCAGCTTGCCAGGCTCTCTTTTCTGATCAACGTCTCATCCTCAAGGATAAGTATAGTTCCTGCCAGCTTGCCAGGCTCTCTTTTCTGGGCAACATCTCATCCTCAAGAGAATGGTGGCATCTAAACTCTGGGAAATACGCATTGTGCCATCATGCTTGATACTTCATGTCATTTTTTGAACTAAGGAATAGAGTAAAACAGCCCTTGGAAGAGTTATGGATGGCAACAAAGTTTCACCTTTGTCCTGAGGAATATTTGTACAGCCTTAGCCACCCTGTGATCTGATCAGGATTTGTGACTTTGCTCCTTCTGAATAGATTATTCCTGAGGAGTTATGATGGACACCTCTCACCCGCCTCCACGTTCCTGCTCTGCTTGGTTTTACTATTGAAGAAAAAAAACAATGCATTGAAACCTAATTCAATATGTGGATAAAAGCTGTATGAACTTTTCTGACCTGAGTGTCTAATAAATCAGTGTCTCAGTAAAGAACAGATGACTTAACCTGGGAGTCAGGAAGGTGGGGAGCAAGTCAAGGGTATAGAGTACTTTCACAGTTTATTCAGACTTTGCATTGATTAAGGCCATCTAGTTCCATCTAGAGGTCAAGTGTCCAGCTGCCACTTCACCATCTTGTAGCAATTCAGCTCTTGCAATAGCCCTTCTACCAAAGCACACTGCTATGAATTGGTCCATTAAAATGAATTAGATCCTGCAGAGTGGATGCTGGTCTGCAGGTACTGTGAGGAAGAAGTCCTTGTCACTAGGTTTCTTGATTTGGGCAGCAGAGGAAAAGGTTTTATTTTATGCAATAAACAGTTTCTTGTAAATTATTAGTGAATATATTTTAGAGAGGTGCAGCTGATTGTAGATATGCCTTTCCACTGAGAGTAAGGTCACCACTCTCATTACACTGCTATTAATGGGGTTTTGGCTCAGCTGTTGTCAGCAGTTGATTCCAGATAGGTTCGGAACAATTTTTGCCTCATTGTTAGTGCTTGTAAAGATAATCAATAGAAGCAGCTTTATGAACAGCTAAGACAACAGTTTATGTAAACACTGTAAGACACAGAAGACTATGTCATAGAAAAACGTTTCTGACCAGTCTCTGTGCCAGTACTTTGGGGTGTTTGTAAGGGTGTTTCTTTTTAAGATGACAAATAAAGCGGACAGGTAAGAAGCTTTCCTCTTGGTGTACCTATGCATAATCCTTTTTAGCTCACTCTCTGCATTTTCCAGAGGACATGAGGGTGTTTTGCTGACTCAGAAGAAATTATTCCTTTATACATTATGTGTTACAGAAAGGTAGGTGAAAGGGGTTGAAAGATAAAAGAGACAGTATTATAACAGAAGAACAGATAATAGTCCCAGCTGAAGGATGCAGAGCATGGAAAAAATCATCACAGCCAAGTCTGAGGAAAAAGTAATAAATACAAGCTTGAAAATACCCAGTAAAAAAAAGGGCAATTTTTTTTTTTAAATGGTAGTATATGGTCCACTGGGGTTTTCTTCTTTCCTTTTTTTATTTTTTTTTTTTTCCTTGAACTTATGAATGGTATGATAAATGTGGTATCTAGTGAAACCTCAAGCAAAGTTTAAATAACTGATTTTCCTTTTCTCTGCTTTTATCTTGGTAGAAGCAATTATTTTTAAAAGGCTTCAAACTTCTCTTTTGTAAGACTTGTTTGCAGAGGTTCAACAAACCATTTTATAAAGAGCTAAGCACAATAGAAGTCCTCTGTAGAGAATCTAGTTGCATTTCATGAAAACCAGTGAATTGTGATGATTGTACCCTTACCAGTGGCTCCAAGCAAGAGAGTATAGTTTTACCTGTTTTATCAAGATTTTTACTTGTGTTAGTGATTTAGTAGGCGGTTTGTTTTCTCTGTTGGTATTGAAACTGTTCTATAGTTTAGTAAGAAGCATCCTGTTGTCAGTCATGCTGTGTTTCACAAGATGTAAATCTGAGGTCTCAGTCTCTTGTGGTTGTTAAGGATCCTACAGCATGGTTTGTTCCTTGAGTTAAAAATAGGTAGCATTCATACTGGGGCCAAGCTGATAAGGTAATGAGAGCTGTGATGAACTTCTGCAGGCACAAGGTTTCTGCATGAAGTTTCTGTGGTTTCAACTAAAGATGGAAAGCTTCTTGAGTTAGGATCCAGTTCAGCTCAGTTCCTAACTGCACAGGACCTGATACATGGATACGAAGCCTTCGATTGTTGGAAGGTAATTCTATATATGCTAATAAATGGGGACCATGTGTTCACAACCCTTCACCTTATCTTTGACCTAAGTAAGTTTTCACTGTATGTTGCAGGCTGGTCTTTCAACGCCTTTCACAGAAATGCACCTACTGGAAATTCCCAGATTCCACTGGAACAGGATAGCTTGGATGCGTAATGATCAATACTTGGGAACCGAAGATGAAGTGTTTTTGCAGACTCTACAATGAATAATTTCTTTATGAGCTCTCTTTTAATATTAGTTACATAAATTAGTTACATAAAATTAGTTACAAAAATGTAAAAATACAGTCTTTAAAGTTATTTTCACCGGTGTTAATCAAATTAGCATTTCTTTCGAACTGTGTCTTTATTTTGGAGAGGGAGAATTGCAATAAATACAAAAAAAAATCAGCTTTTAGCAGTTGTCATGCATTTTATGTAGAAGTCAATTGCATACTACATTGATTACTGACAGCACAAAACCCTAGACAAATTAGGTAAGATGGAAATACTATATTAATATTTCTCATGACATTGCTTTTTTTCCCAGATAATTTTAATGAAACATGATCATTTGGTTCCTTATTTTTCTATTATTTCTTTCCTGAAGTGTTCATGATGGCTTGTTCTTGCAGGAGAAGCTTAATGTCAACAGTATGGGGCATCAGGTGATAATATTTGACTTTTCTCTCATAAGAGGACTGTGGGAAACTCGAGTTAAGAAGAACAAAGAACGTCAGAGAAAAGAGAAGGAAAGATTAGAAAAAAGCTCATTGGAGAAGTAAGCCAACTTTCCTGCTGTTCATTTTAACTAAATCCATTATTATTATTATCCAGTAACGCTGGCATATACTAAGCATTATCTGATTCAAATCTTATATTTTTGGGTTTGATTTCAACAATTTCACACCTCCTTTCCTCAGATGATTGTAAAAAAAATGCAGTAGAAATTGTGCTTCTGTTTCATTAGAGTCCCTGCTCTTTCTTATATAAACTATGATTTACTAAGGCTGTATTTTATTGTCTACTGTGTAGAATTAATTTGGAGGAAAAAATATTTTGTACATTTTTAGTACTTATATGCTATATAAAATTATGACTATTATAGAATTCATGAAAATATGCTCAAAAATTTAGTACTATAAATACTTTAAGGCTTTTGTTGAGTTGACAGGAGAAACAAAAGGAATTAAATAAATGGGCATATACAATTGCTTCTGAATAAGAAAGAGAGGATAGAATAAAAGAATTATCATAGGATTTTCTTGTTAAAATATTAAAGAAAGCTTTGATTGCAATGCTTACATACACTAATCATGTTATTGTTTTTGTTATATTTAACTTATGGTTTCTTTAAGGAATATTTTGGTTTCTTTATGTTTGTTCCCATAAGAGACAGTGAAATATACTGTGCTGGCAATGTTGGAAACATGACATTTTTCCCTTCTGAGAAGAGAAAAAAGCAATAAAAATAACTTCCTGCTTTAAAATGCACAGGGTTAAAGAGTGTCCTTGTTTAAAAGCATCATTGCATTCAACCTTTGTGTGGTGTTTTGGCTGTCTCAGGAGACATCCACTCATTGATTCTCACTTCCAGTGCAGCTACACTGACAACAGAGCAACTGCGCCAAGGGAAGACCAGGGTAATACAAAGAGTGACTGCCCTTTCTGCATAGTTGCAGTCTTGGGTCTCCTGTCCCTACACCAAAGCCTGCATTAAAAACAAGGGAAAATTGAGCTTGTCCTTCAGATTAAAGGATAAACTTTCTTTTCGGTATGAGCTGAGGGACAGAAAAAGTTTGCTGTTGTGACGATTTTTTACGATGGAAAAAAAAAAGTGAAAGGATATGGGATGAAATTTGATTAAATCTTATTTTGTCCCGCATGCTACATTAAAAATGGCTTTGCCCAGTTCTAACACAGATAAAGCACACAACTCTCTACTGGTGTCTACGTCCGCTAGCGGCTCTTGGGATGCCAGTGCAGCCTTCTTCATAAAAAGAATATTATGACTAGGAAGCCACACCTGTAGGTTCTAACAGCACATGCTGTTCATTTTCAGAACTGCTAGGTCAGTCCCAGTGCGGATCTGAGCATCAGCATACTTCTGCCATGTTTTGGTTTTGTTTTCTTGGTGAAGAAGATAACTTCTGAGTTCAGTAATACAAAAGCAAACTAGAAATGCCAGGCATTGGAAGTTCTGTATGAAAGAAGGAAAGAGGATAACCTTGTGTGGTCTAGGTAGATAATTCCAGCTCCCATGTTTTTGTCAGTAGCATGTGTTAAGGTTCATTGCTTACTGTGACTTGAGTTTTCCATAAAAACAATACATTCTCTGTGCCATTTCTGCCTGTGGTTGGTTGTCTTTATTCATTCCTCCAGCTGAAAAAGTGGAGCTTGACAGCCTTTTTTTTGAACTAATGAGGTCCAAAGTAGTTCTGTTATTTTTTTGTGCCAAACTGAGATGGGGAATTTGGGTATGACACAAAGTTCCAATTACAATTTCAGCATTCAGGAAGGAATTTTATTTTCTTCTTTTAGCTTGCAATTTGAATACAGTGCTTTGTCTTGTACATCTTCATGTAATCAGACTGCTTTCCAGGTAGTCTTACTTCTTTTACTGCTCCTGGAAAAAAAGGAGGGAGCACATGCAACTTTGTTTCCTGAATGCGAGTGATCAGTATATCACCCACTGAAATGAATGGCAAACTTCAGGTTAATTCTTATAATGCAGGCCTCATAGAATGGAAAAGGCTGGCAGAATAACAGTCAAAGTCATAAAAATATTGGTAAGACAATGCAAAATTCAGTTAAAAGAAAAAATCTCTTTGTTTTATGAGGTGTGTAGTGACCTCCTGACCTTTAGGTCCTAAAGGTCAGGTCACAAGTTATTTCTTCGGTGCTTTTCGGTGCTTCCGAAAGGCCAAAAATAAGAGGAGATTTTTCTTCTTGTTATCACAAAAGGATAGATAAAATTGTAATTGTAATTAAATGCTTAATAGGAATAATATTCCCCTGTAGAAATACGTTTCATTATTTTAGGGAGTTCTGGACATTAAATGCTTAATAGGAATAATGTTTCCCTGTAGAAATACATTTTATTATTTTAGGAAATTGTGTGATCAATTTTTGGTATTCTACTCAGAGATTAAAATTTTACCACAGTCAGATAGGTCCACTGAAATCAGTGATAGTAAGAAACTATTTTGGAATGTTGTGACCCAAAATGGTAATTCCAAGAAGATGTTCAAAGAAGGAAGTTTCCTGAACTGAGTCTGCATTCTAGCATTTAACAGTCTAGATAATTATCTTTGCTGGCAGTCAGAGTGAATACCCAAGTAGTGCTGGAATTAATAGAGTTTCGCTGCAAATATACTTGTACAACAGATGAGCTTGGAATCTGTCTTGCTGAGGCTGCTTTTATTTTCTTAAAAAACCCAAACCCCAAACAAACAAAATCCAGTTTTCCTCAAAGAGGTTACAGCTCACTAATGCCCTTGAGATTGTGCAGTTCCTTATCAACTGTGTTGCTAGGTAAAATGACCTGATACTATGTATTTATTGTTTGAGGAAATACTCCCAATTAACCTCTGGGGAAGTTTGCTCATCTTGGGGCAAGGTGATTTAGTTCATGCAGGGTCAGTAAGCAATCACATATTAGGTATTTCTCTTTTTGACTGAAGAATTTCTAACATGAAACCCTTGCAAATAATTGCAAAACTTGAAGTGTGAATTAATGGTAAAGTCTTGTAAAGTTTTTGGAATTTAGGTCTAGTGCAGATGTTTAAGCAGCTGATCAATGAAAGCTGATTCTGGAGAAAAAGAATATTCTGAAAAGCTCATATCTGTCTCTGAGATATGGGAATCAGAACACATTGTGTGGAGTCCTGTTTCCCATTTGGATTTGTGGGACTCCAGAAGCACAACAGTTTAATTGACCCCTGCTTCTGAGGGACATCTATAAACCAGCAACTGAGTATAAAAGAGAAAGATACAGTATAGTGTTGTACAAGAGTAATTTAATTTTACATTATGTCCTTAATCACATTGGGCAAGCCCGTTCTAAGTCTCCCACAGGATATAAAACATGGACTCTTACAAAAAATGTGCATTGTTCTGTGGTTATGAAAGTCCACATTATAGAAAGAAATTTGTGTTTATAGCACTGTTTTATATTTAATCTTCTATAGTCTGTTAGGGGTGAGCAACCTCATATGCTGCTCTGAAATCTGGAATGATGTCAGACTAACTTGATGTGGTATGATAGCGTTCCTCATAAATTTTCCTTTCTACTATTTTTGTTGTTTTGATAAGGGAATGAAAGTGAAAAGCAGGTAAAAACTGATGGCTGACAAATTAAACATTCAAGTGAGGAAATGACAGAGATGTTTGCCCAGATTAGCCATATAAATATTTGCTATGAAATGGCAGAGCCTGGCTTGTCTACCAACCAAACTTGTAGCAAAGATAACAGTTTATTCAACTGCCTCTTCCAGTGCGTCTCTTCTCCAGCATTTTCCTCTCAAGGTCTAGCTAGCTAAATGTACATGTGTTACTTTCCTTAGAAATCACTTCCTGAATGTTGAAAGTCAAAAGAAAACTTTCACTCTACAGGCAGACAATGACTTTTTTCCCTGAGAGTTTATGTGTTTCTTTAATAAAATAGATTTGTCTCTATCTTTAAGCCAAACTTCAGTGCTGTAACTTTATTTGTACTTGAACTAAGATTCTATTTGTGATGTTTATCTTTAATTCTCCCACTCAATACCCAATTCAGAATTTTTCTAAAAAAGACTAAAACTCAAATTGGGAGCCCTTAGCCCCAAACACAAATTATAGGCAACAAGTTGGAAATAAATCTGTAGTTCTAATAACCACTTATTTGACTTCATTCTTAGGCACTTGTGCATACAGACCTTGCATCTAATGTACCACATGCAAATGGGTTTAAAGATAAAAGCCGCTGTTGAGTCACAATTCTTTACAACCCATGGAAGAGTGTGGCAGAGGGACTGAAATTAAATCAATCCAATGGAATTTGAAGAAAATACTACTCATCCATCAGGAATATTAGTCTGTGCTGAGTTCCACTTTAGCTGTCATGCTCTTATAAATATTCTGTAAAAATATTTAATAGTGCTGTGTGGCTAGTGATTCTGACAAAGAGTACTAAACTAGTGTCACAATGTAATGTCCTGGTTATTTCATCCATCCTGATTTAGAAGAAACAGTGCCATCTAATGAAACTTCCTTTTTTTACCTAAGAAACATAGCTTTTCCTCAAGGACAATGAAGTAGTGTTTGGGGAATGATTACCTGAAGACAAGTTTAGCATTAACCAAAGTGGAAATACTTGAATATTCTATCTGCATGCTGATCCTGTTTCATATAAAATCATAGAATTATAGAATAGTTTGGGTTGGAAGGAATCCTAAAGCTCATTCAGCTCCAATTCCCCTGCCATAGGCAGGGACACCAGGTTGCTAAAAACCCCTTCCAACCTGACCTTGAACACAGACAAGGTTGGGGCAGCTACAACTTCCCTTGGCAACCTGTTCCAAGTTCACCACCCTCACAATAAAGAATTCCTTCCTAGTATCAAATCTAAATCTACCTTCTGCCAGTTTAAAGCCATTCCCCCTTATCCTATATCAATATGCTCTTGTAAAAGTCCCTCTCCAGATTTCTTGCAGGCCTCATTTAGCTATTGGAAGCTGCTCTAAGGTCTCTGCAGAGCTTTCTTTTCTCCAAGGTGAACAATCCCAACTCTCTCAGCTTATC